TGATTAAAATATTTGTCCTATAACAAGAAACAAATATTGTTATAGTGAGCCTAATTGACTAGTGCAATATCAAATAAATCATATTATTCTGGTTGAACAAACTCCACCGTATCAGTACTGCCATATCAGCACCCATGTAGCAGACTTCCCAACGTAAGACGTTAAAATGTTTTACTTGGGAAGTCATTTTGTCTGCATGAGCACCAAAAGGTCCTGCCTTTTATGTCTTTCTATATACCGTAGCTGCTACAGTGCTGACAGCGGTTGCAAAACACCTTATCCTGTAAGGCCCTACTACTATGATTTTTTCACGTAATAGTTGACTTGGCTTATTCTCCCACCAAGATAGTGCCTGATCCTAACTATAAATACCTCTTCCTTCTTCACCATGAACACACACGATATCACTACTATCATGAGCAGTTATTATACACCATTGTAGTCATTTAACACCACCTCCTATTATTATACACTACACCTAAAACTTCCTTGCATAGCCTTGGTCCATACCATTGCTGTCAAGGGCACCCCTACAATGATTACTATATCCCTTGGGTTTACATACATGGCTCCCTCACTTTACTAACAGTTCAAATATAACTTTGAGAATCAAAACTATTAAATTTAAACATCTCGTTCCCGAAGTATAAATGTTGTTGGTCCCAAATGAACTCAAGAGGGGGTAAATTGAGTTTTATAAAATTAATTTGCTAAAATTAAAAATTAATTCAAAGAAATAAATCAAGATAAGGATAGAGAGATATTGACACATAAATTTTACGTGGAAAACCTAAAAGGAAAAAACAAAATCACGAGCCGAAATATCAAATACTAAAATTCGACTAGCAACTTCACTATTAAACTTGCATACAAGGAGTTTTCTAGTATCCTAGTTTTCTAGTCGACCCCTTACATAAATTTTTACTTGGTATCTTTGTTTCCTAGTACGAAATCCTAACATTTTAGGATTGCGAAACTCGATCACACAAGAGTTCTCAAGTTACTATCAATTTCCAATGAAAAAGGATATGCTGGTATTTCAGTTTTCCAGCACAAGAACTGGTATCCAAGTTTCTCAGTATAGACCTTCAAAAAGGTCAAGAAGAATTTTACAATTAAAATGATTTACCTCAGTGCTTCTTTTCCTCAAGCGGATAGGTAATCTGAATTCCTATGGAGAAATATTCACTTTGACAAAAGATGAATGTATGAATAGAGTTAACATGGTAGAGTTATTAAATCTCATTATGGAGAAATTATGGATATAGTTAACAACATGCTGCAAGGTTGGAAAAAGCAGTGTTTATCCATTATTGGTAGAATAATTCTGGCCAAGTCTGTTATTTCGGCCATGCCTATATATCATATGCAAAATAGCTTGTTACTTGTGGGTCTCTATAACGAGATTAAGAAACTCCAAAGGAATTTTATTTGGGGTGACTCAGCCTACCAGAGAAAACATCATTTAATTGTTTCGGAGCATCTCATCTTGCCTAAGAACCGTGGAGGATTGGGTCTCATAAATCTCAAGAAGCAAAATGAAGCTTTTCTTCGAAAAGTGCTTGGTCTATTATTCATTCTCCTTCTCACCTTTGGGCTCAGGTCCTGATAGCTAAGTATGGTAGAAACAGGGATTTAATGAAGGAAATGACTAGCCAGACGTGTGATTCTCACTTATGGAAGAGTTTAAGTAAAACATGGTCTGATGTCATCAAAAATATCATCTGACAAATTGGTGATGGGAAAAAATTAGGCTATGGGAAGATAGTTGGACTGGCCTTAATTCTAATCTCATTTTTCTTGTTGTTGTTCCTCCTTCTACTGAGGAAGTTGATCTCAAGATCAGTCATTATGCTTTCTCATCTAATAATGGCTGGAATATTCAATATCTTTCTGATCATTTGATTCTACTGTGGTAAATTTAATTATGGCCATCCCTCCCCCATATGTAGAAGTTGTAATGGATTTTGTTGTTTGGAAAAACTGGAACTAGGTCAGTCCCTTGTTAAGCTTGCTTATTTAAACCTTTTTAATCTTTCCAATCATTCTCCTAATAGTTGTTGGGATCGCATTTGGAATTGGAAAGGTCAAGAAATGATTAAATTGCTCATTTGGAAATTGTTTCATGGTAGAATGCTTACCAATGACATATCTGCAAAATGGAGAGGAACTTCTGATAAATGCCTCTCATGTCGTGACAAAGTGGAAACTTGCTTACATGCATGTAGGGACTGTCCATAGGCAAAAAAAAATCTAGCTTCTCCCTCTATTTCATCCTCTCCCCAATGATTTTTTCACCTTTAATCTTCTTGGAGAATAAATGTCGCTAAATTTTAATCAGAACAGAATTCGTGATTCAAATTAGTGTGACTCCTTTCTTTACTATATGCAACACCTTGTGGAATTGAAGAAACAAAGATATGCATAAGGAAAATATCAAAAGACCTGAAGATTCTACATATCTTCTTGTTGGCTTTATTGAAGAAGTGAGTCATTTCAGATATTTAAAAATTCAAAGATTCGATACAAGCTCCCTCATTCCTTCCTGCAACTCTTGGTCTCCTCCCTCGCAAGGAATTCTAAAGCTTAACATAGATGATGCTGTTGTGGGAAATAAGGCAGCTTGTGGTGGTATTTTGAGGAACTAGTTTGGCTTCTGAGTTAGTGACTTCTCTGCTTTTGTGGGTTCTAATTCCCTTCTTCGGGCAAAGCTTTGAGCTATCTACCATGGTCTAGTTTTTACTTGGAACAACAATTGGAAGAATATTGTTGTGGAATCAAACTCTTTTCAAGCTATAAGCTTACTTATCTTTTCTGGTAATGTTTCTCGAAAGCTCCCTTTGGTGGCTAAGATTCAAGCTTTTTTGAACAAAGATTGGACTGTTAGTATGTCTCACATCTCTAGAGATTGCAACAAGTGTGTGGACTGGATTGCGAAGAAGGCGATGAATGACAATTTTAGTCTCATCCTAGCCTCCTCTCATCACCTTGATCTAATTAACCTCTTGACTGCTGATCTTTTGGATCTTGGCTAAGAGTCTGTTGCTACTCTAGATTAATTTAATTTTTTGCTGAGCTTTCTTATTTTTGTTTTCACTCTATGTTTGTTGTCTTTGTTTTTTCCTTTGTTTGTTTCTTTGCTTTCCTGGTTGTTACAAAAAAAGAAAGATAAAAGTATGAATGATTGTTCTTGAAAAAACTTTTCAATTTATGTACAAGAAAAAATATTAATCTTGAAAAACTAACCAAAAATTAATTTTCCGACCAACTTTTTCAAAATCTTTTTCAAAAACTAACCAGAAATCTTTTACCCTTATATGAAGTTTTAACTATAATTTTCAAAAATAAGATTTCTGATTTTATTCAAATAAAAATATGTAAAGCATTAAATATCTTTACTTATTATGCAATGTAATCCTAATCAAAAATTTTGGTAAAGAATATTTTATTTCTCTTACATGAAATCTAAAAAAATAAAATATATCTTAAACTTTACTTGATTCCATGTTTTTTTTCTCTATTCATGATGTATTTCATATTTTCTCCAATCCCCTCTCTTAGGTGTGCTAAACGAGCCAGGGGCCTTTGGCTCGGCTCGTGAAGGCCTGAGCTTACATGTCTAAAATTGATTGTTGGACCCAGGCTTGGACTTGTATAAAAGCTCGTTTAATAAAAAGGCCTCAGACTCCAATTCAAAAGCTCGGCCTTAGAGCCTCACAGACTTGCCTAATATATTATTTTTTTAGTTTTTATACTACTTGTGATAGCCATCTCTCTCTTCTCAATTCATTTCATTCTATTTTATTAATTAAACAGACTTTTTAAATGATTTTGTTTTATATTATGTTATTTGGATATACATTAAATTTATGAATATTTATGAAATTACTAGTGCTGTTGATTGTATATTTTGTTTGGATAAATTTTTGTTGTCTTATTTTTTTTAAACAGGCTAAACAAGACTGAATTTTTTTGTAAATGAGGCAGGCCACAGGCTGATATTATATTCGTAACAGGTTGTTGCTAAGGCCAGTCTGACACATTTGAACACATGCTCGGCCCGTTAAGACCAAAGCTCGGCTCGGCTCGGCTCGGCTCGTTAACACCCCTACCCTCTCTCTTCATGATATCTTCTATATCTTTTTCAATCTTCGTACAATCTTCAATTATTTTGAATACTATTTTATTTAGAATAAATATTATTCTGAAATCTCAAACGATAACTCATTAATAATTCCAAGACAATAAATTATTATCAATTAAATTAATCTCAAATTGATTATAATCATCAAAATATATTTTAAATCAATTAATCAATCGGGATATAACAAATATCCAACAAATCCAACTCCAGATTATGTTAATCCTTTCATATATAATCATATATCTCAATACCTGCTTGAATCCCACTTAAATCTTATTTGAAAATTTATTCATATATACTCCCGATTCAAATGTAAAACATATTTCCTTCTTCCAATTTGAGGTGATATTGTGCATAATAAATATTGTTAATGAATAGAAACAATCCAAATAATTATTCTCATTGTGAAATATGTGCAGGATCTGTGATTCTGTATGTCATTCGCAGTGAATATCATTTCTTTTTAGGTTATTTTGGCAATAAATAAATAAATAGACAATGCTATATTATATTTGATTGAAAATTAGAAATATAAAAAGTGCATTTCGGACATTTAACATCTTCAAGGCTTTTCCACCAATTATGCATTTTAATCGACGCTTTAATATTTTTATAATTAATATAAATAAATTATCTATATTTATTGTTAAAATAATATCATTTTGAGTTCAAAAATCAAAAAATTATAATAAAAAAAATTATTATAATCTTAAAATAATTTATAATTATAAAATATCTTAATTTCGTCTTAAAATAATATCTTTTGAATCTATGTAAAGATGAAATTTAAATTTGCTAGAAGAAAAACGAAACCACAGAAACTGCGACAGCGTTTGTAGCAGAGCGAAAGCCACCCACCAGCTCAGATCACATCACCTATTTCTACGTTCTGTTTTTACAGTATTTCTATGCTTTTTATTTTCCCTAAATTCCAGGGCTTTATTCTTGTCCCTCTCTTCTTTTTCTCTACCATCTCTCTCTTATAGCCCATTCTTTTGTTGGATAGATTACTCTCATTAACCATTTTAGGAAGAATTTATTACATTGATATTAAAAGATCTGTTTTTTCTGGGGTTTTTTTTTTCCTTTTTATTCTTTTCCTTTCTTCTCTTTTTTCCCATTTTCTTTACCCTTTGTTTATTTTTTCGTGGGTCTTATCTCTGTACCTGAATATTCAACCTTTTTTTGTTTTCTGTTCACAATTCATACATAATTTGTTGTCTTCAATAGACAAGCTCAGTCGTTCGAGAGATTTGAGCTCAATTCAAGCTTTCCGTTGTTGCAGAAGGGATCTTTCATGGCTTCCCAAAATGTAAAGTTTTCTTTTTTTGTTATAAATTTTGAATCCCTACCCTTGTTGCATTAAATCTTGTTACACCCTTTTTTATATTTTTATTTTCCCCCAATTTTGCAGCCTCTCCTCACCTAATCTTAAGCATCGAGGTCCTCAAAATGGACCATTTCACGGTTTCAGACTAGTGGGATATTTTTCTTATTTGACAAGGTCCTTCCTTTTATAATCAAAAGACAATCTTGTATCAAAACCTTAGCCCCTTTGTGTCCATCTTTTTCTTGATCTGACACAAGAAAAAAAAAATGTACGGGACCAAGAGTAAAATAGACCTTGCCTTCGAATACCAATCTCAAGCAGCAATTTTGAGGCCCAGCATCCATTCCAGAAGAGCAAATCTGACTGTGAAATTCCAAGACCTTTATGGGTTCACGGTGGAAGGGAATGTGGATGATGCGAATGTGTTGAATGAGGTTAGGGAGAAGGTGAGGCAACAGGGTCGAGTTTGGTGGGCATTGGAGGCCAGCAAAGGTGCAAATTGGTATTTGCACACTACCATAGGGGAAGGCAGTGCCCTTAAATCTTCCTTGAAATTCTCAGCGCTGGCTAATGCTATCACTTTGAAGAAGTTAATCAGGAAGGGGATACCCCCAGTTCTTAGGCCTAAGGTTTGGTTTTCATTGTCAGGGGCAGCCAAGAAAAAGTCCACGGTGCCTGAGAGTTATTATGATGATTTGACAAAAGCAGTGGAAGGGAAGGTCACCTCTGCTACCCGACAGATAGATCATGTGAGTTCTTCAACCTTTTTTTTTTTTTTAATGATAATCACACAATTGGGTTTGGTTTTGATCACATGTTTCTCAATTTGATTTGTGGGCATCACCCTTCTGTCTTGTTTGGTTTCCTTTTATTTGATTATTATTTGCAGATGCGTTGATCATTTTCAATTAAATTCGATGGAGGAATTGCATTGTCTAGACTTTATATTGTGTCTTGTGAAAAGATTTTCAGACATATCTTGCAGCAGATTTTGATGGGTGATCGTGAGTGGTCTTTCATTATTTCTTTCCCAATGAGCAAAATTTATTATTTGTGGATGATAATGAGAGTTAAGAGAGATCCATAAGAGTTAAAGATTTATAAGCCCTATATTTATAACCTTCGTAATTATGTGATCCGTTATCCTTAGATCATATAGATAATTTAAAAGTTCATGGTGGTATATGAAACTAAGAATTTTAGCTGAGGAAAAATGTAGCTATGAGATGCTGATCAGAAAGCGATAGGAGTTTGTGTGGTCCTCAGTAAAGATTAAAGATCGGGATCAACTTTGTTTAGGCTTTTATATCTTGACTGTTTGGGATGTGATGTTATTTATCTACTCATCCAACAATATGAACTTTCTGGGTTTGGAAAAGCGACTGCTATCAGGGTGTTTAATGTGATCCTTATGATGGTTATTGGTTATTGATGTTTGTTTCAGAATAATTTGAACTTGTCCACATTGTTACAATGCTCATTATATTTATTCTGTTTCTAATCAATCTGTAAGCATATTTACAGGACCTACCACGAACTTTCCCTGGTCATCCGTGGTTGGACACTCCTGAGGGGCATGCTGCTCTTAGGCGTGTTCTTGTTGCTTATTCTTTCCGTGATTCTGATGTTGGGTATTGTCAGGTAGGCTTGCTGTATTCTCATTCCTTTTCTGAAGTTTATTTTTCCCTGCTAAGTCCGAGAAAGACAATACTCTGACTTCTGATAACTTGAACTTAGATACTACTGAATGTCTCATCAGGTATTTGAAGAGAAAATATCTTTTGTGTGGCTTCCTATTTCATTTAATCAATGCTTGTTCTGTTCTTTTTTCCTGGGATTAGATGTTGAATCTTTATCAATTAGTAATATTGATGTTGCTTATACTCTTATTTCCACCAGACCCTGACTCTTCTAACTGATTAACAACATTGTGCGACTAAAGTATGGATTAGTTTCTGTGTTCTACCTACATTTGATTAAACTAAATATGTCACTGACAAAATCTATTGCGCTCCTGTATTTGCTTTTATCAATTGTTTCAGCTATTATATTTTATGTTCTAAATTTTTTTGGTATAATAGGGCACTGCATAGTTCCTTTATTAGTTAAAATTAAAGTAGTCAATAGTGTTTGGTTTAGTTTGATTAAAAAAATTAAATTAAATGCATACCTGAGAACATATTCTATTTTTATTATTGACTCTACAACATTATTGCTACAGGGATTAAATTACGTTGCAGCATTGTTGTTGCTTGTCATGAAGACGGAAGAAGAAGCATTTTGGATGCTTGCTGTTCTGTTGGAAAATGTCCTGGTTAGTGACTGTTACACAAACAACCTATCAGGATGCCATGTTGAACAAAGAGTGTTTAAAGATTTAATTGCTAAAAAGTGCCCAAGGTATTTTAATTTGATGTGTTCACTGTGTATCATATGTTTGATTCTTAGTATCTTACTGAAAATTGTAGAAATGAAAATGCAGAATTGCGACTCATTTGGAAGCCTTGGAATTTGATGTTTCCCTTGTTACCACTGAGTGGTTCCTTTGCCTCTTTTCAAAGAGCCTTCCTTCCGAGGTTAGAATAATGCTACAATAAATTAATACATTGAAATGTTCAGTTGTTCCCCGTACTAATACTTCTTACATGAATCAGACAACTCTGAGAGTTTGGGATGTTATTTTCTATGAGGGGGCTAAGGTTATATTTAACGTGGCCTTGGCAATCTTTAAGGTACCACTACTCTAGCCTTTTTGTTCTTTCTTGGTTTTTGATCAACACACACAAAAACATAGAAGATTATGCTATGACGGAAGGGATGTTTCAACAGTTGTCACCTCCAATTGCAGATGAAGGAAGATCAGTTACTTCTAACCCATCATGTTGGTGAAGTAATCAATGTTCTGCAGATGACCACTCATCACCTATTTGATCCAGATGATTTGTTGACAGTAAGACAAATTCCACTATTTCCTATCTTTATCTATTATTTTTCCTTTGAATCAGTTGACTATACTTCATGGTTTTCTTGTTATCATCCTTTCATGTTTTCTTCAAGGTACTACAATAGTTCCAGTTCCTGTAATTTCAAGAAGAAAGCCTATAAACAAGTTTCTCACTTAAGGGTGGATAGTTGGGGTTGGGGGAAGAAAAAAGTCTCTACTATGCTTCTCCTCTTATGGTGAAGCGGTTTTAGAGCTTTCATTAACTATCGTTTGTGTTTGCAGGTGGCATTTGATAAGATAGGTTCTATGACAACCAATACCATATCAAAGCAAAGGAAGAAACAGGAACCTGAAGTCATGAAGGAGCTTGATCAGAGGATCAGACGGCTAAATTCCCTTAAAATGGATGGCAATTAGCATTTGCTTTGTCTAAATTTTTGATTTTTGATTTTTTTTTTCTTTTGGGGTGCATTGATTTGCTAATTTAATCTGAAATGTTGAACCGTCCTAGTACGGTAGTTTGCTGCCACTAGCAGAATGCAGAATTTATGCTTCTCGGGGCATGACATGAACCCGGTTGTTGTTTGTAGGTGATCGGTGTAAATTTGAATATGGACATATCTAAACTATTAATTAATGTTACAATGTGCATCAATGTCAAATTTTGAGCATTGTGTTATTTGTCTGTCGTGGATTTACTTTCTTAAGCATGCCCCATGCATGCATGTCTTGATATACCAAGGCATTTTAGCCTGTTGTGGTTTTGATGAAGAATTTTAAATTCTAGGAAATTTAATTTTTTTGATAATTTAATTGTTTTAATAATTAAGTTTTCTTTATTTGTAAAATATCTTGTTTAGATAAATTTTAGAATTATAGGTGTTTAGCAAATAATAATAATAATAATAATAAATGTCTAGAGTTTGAGAATCTACAATTGTAACTTGATACCAACTTTTCATCTCCCGATAGGGCTAATTTACAATAGATTTATTACAATGATATGGAACCAGTTTAGGTGAAGATGAATATTTCTGGGTGGAGTTTGACTATGTAAAGCTAATTCGTTAATTATCTGTTTATGGGGTATGGTGGTTTCCAATTATAATGTATGGCGGTTCTCGGAATGGTGATGTGTTTGGTTCAACATCGGTTCAGTAACTGTGCTCAATATTGACGGTAGCAAGGATTAACAAAGGGGGTTAGGTTGTAAATAGTCAATTGGAACACCACGCTATTGTCATACTGGAAAAGGATGTTTAAAAATCTCAAAATGATGTTTAAACTTTAAATCTCAAATTTTTTACATTTAAATAAGGTTTTAGGATTTTAAAATCCTTTTACATCCAAGATATCTCCCGATTTAATTCAATTTTTTTAAATTACACTTGAAAATTCAAATCGAATTTAAAGAAGCCAAAGTCATTCAAAATCTAAACAAAATGAATTAAAACAAAATAATATTAAATAAAGATCCTAATAAAAATTGAAAAATGTGCACTTAACTTTTTTTATGAATAAGAAGTTTGACTTGAAAATGTATGTCTTTTTGTCTCAAACAGATGTGTCTTTTCGTGTCGAACGAATGTGTTGTTTTGTCGATAAATAAGTGCTTTTGAATTGTGACATTATGTTTCCTAAAAATATAGAGAGAATCAGGATTTTTAAAGCATTTTCCCATTGCATTTGCATTCTTCTATTCTAGTGCAATTGGCCAGACATAGGTTGAATTCGATTGAGCTATTTAATGTGGATGTACTACCACAAAAATAGAGGTAATTCGTTCTTTGTTGGAATTCTTATAGAATTCAAATGTTATAAATAAGAAGTTGGTGTGAATATACGTGTCTTTTGATTGTTGAACAGATATAACTATTCACGGGTGAACAAATATGACTTTTCAATGCCGAATAAGCACGACTCTTCACCGCCAATAGGCTCCATTCATCGTGACCAATCATGGTTTATAAATATGGAAGGAAATCAAAAAAAAAAATAGAGACTTTTTTGATTTCTCTCATATACCGAAACTCAGTAAAAAAAATAATGTTTTGAAATCTTTTGCATTTATTCTATGTGATTGATCAGCGTTCATTGTGTACGTCGGTGTTGTTTCTTCTGGTTGTGTAATCGCCGAAACAAAATTAACTCGTTCTATCTTGGGAGGCTATCCTTAAACATCGTTAAAGGGGCAAAATTGTCTTTTAAGACACAATATTCAATAATGGGCTAGGATTTGATTTTCTGCAATTTGTATGCTTTGCACAATTTAATTTTCTGTGATTGGATGTAATTTTATGTTTTCACTGATATCACCCAAACCAACAATACAGATTTTTTTGCAGTATCACCAATAAGAAGGTGAAGTTTATCAGTAATGTCCTATTTTGGTATTTTTATTCATGTCAGACTCGGATGAGATACAATTGAACTATCGAGACCAATGTAAGTTGCTAAATCCACTTGAAGTCTGAATGTATTACATATTTCTGCACACCATTAACATAAGCATTTCTCTATATAGAACGTCTGTTGTATCGTTTGGCCTTCTATTGACTTTTTCTAATTTCTTCAATTCTTTTAAGACAATTTTATATTGAAGTAGAGGTTCCAGCTGTTGTTAAGTTGTTAATCGAAACTACTTGTTTAGAAGACGGTTAAAGAAGGACCAGCTATTCTTGAAGAGCAGGGGAGCATGTTCCGACCATGGTTGAATTAGATATGAAGGTCAGCACTCAGCAATTATGCCTTCCAAAATTAGACCTTCGATTTCAGAATTATGAAAACGGTTTTGGTGTTACTTATTTTTTATTGTTTGTTATATTGATGCTATTTATGAGCAAGATAACGACTAAGCACCACATAACCCGGACTTGCAGTAAATAGTAGAATAAAAAATAGTTTTACTCATTAATTCAAGACGAGGCTTTTTCTTACATATCACATTTTCTTTTGTATTCAATTTTTGAACGTTAATATTTAACTACGATAAGATTAATTCCACACAAACTACAAAAAGATAACAAATATGTAAAATTACTAGATTATATACAACTCACTACAAGACAATTAAAAATTAACATGAGTTTTAATATTGAGCTTTATTAGTCTCATTTCACATAAGATAATTATCTTATGTTGTAGAGAGAAATGAGTGAATCCCACCATTATAAGAAAAAAAAAAATGAAGTGCAAAAATCGAAATAAGAGAACATGAGACAAGTTATTTTATATGAAAGAAAAATAATATTTTCCTTTAATATTTATATGGATTATATCAAACGGAAACTTCATTTTTTTTGTTTTAAACAAGTAGATGCCTAGGTTTACTATTGTTGGCAATATTGAGAACCCAGATAAAAAAAGAACACGAATAAATTTGCATTTAAACGAAAACAGAAAGGTTCGGGAATAGATTATCTAGTGTTAAAATAGAAAAGCCAGATCTGCATTATACTTGAATCCCAGATCTGATATATAAAGGCAACTAACTAAAATGAAGTGCATAATAATCACTGGTTCTGTTCAGCCACTTCAATCCACGTCTGAATGCACGCATTAAGAGTAATCTTAGCTATCAGACGGAAAATAAAATGATGCCTTCCTAGTTCCTCCCATCTCATTATTGGGAAATATTGCATGCGATTTTCATCAAAGAATATACCTAAGTACAAAAAATTCTAAAAGAAAAAATTTACAAGTCCCTTCTATTCTGTGTAGTTTTCGATAACAATAAGCTCTTTGCACCAAGAGGTTGGCATCTTCCTTTTGTTCTATAAACAAAAATGTATTTGTTTTCCTCATTATCTATTGACTGTGGTTCCCTTCAACCTTTTGACCGGCTAACTCTTTTTTAATGTAAGCAGAGGTTTCCACATCTCCTACTTAAGAAGAGCTGGCATTCTCTGCAGCAGTATCATCAATGGCTAAATTGGATACCTCATTAACTACATCTGTTTCGTTTTCACCCTCAACTGAAGCTACAGGTGATGCTGCTTCTGGGGTGACGTTTTCTTCAGGTTGCTGAAGGCTCCAATACATGATGCTAGCCGCTAAAATAAGCATCATCTTCTGGTTGACCTGTCAAGGTTAAATGCAAAATAAGCTAAAGCCAGACAAATAAAATTTCTCAGTCCAACAAAGGACAGATAAAAGTCTGACGGAATCTAGGTAAGCATTAATATACAATTTATGTGACATTGACTGGTGGTCTATTTTGAAAAGAATTAGTGAACTATGGGCAAGAAGCTCAATTATTAACACTTAACAGATATGTTTAGGGGGGAGGGATCTTTTGACTCTAGAGTAAGACTTACAACTCTTACTCCTCATCTCAACCGTTGATTTCCGTCCATCTAACGGTTATCTATAACAAGTAATTAATTATATATATAAATAAATAATAACCATTAGATGGACGGAAATCAACGGTTGAGATGAGGAGTAAGAGTTGTAAGTCTTACTCTAGAGTCAAAAGATCCCTCCCCTATGTTTAGGTATTAGAACCCAAAATGGTTTTACATATATATATATCTAGATATTATGTTGAATGATGACACGAGCTCATTATTATATCCACCAGACCAATTGTTGAAACATACCATTCCAATTTAAAATTTCGGAAACCATCTATTTCTAATCCCATGATATATTGGAGACAAACTGCAACCAATTCAGTCAACATTCACCAAACTGGACAAGTTCAGGAAAATTGATTTTTCATAGACCACAGGCAAAGTTGCTGTTAAAATTATATTTAACATTGATGATCTTACCTCAATTATGTCCTCAGGTAACAGGAAAATGGAACACCCAAGTTTTCGGGCCACACTGATTATATATGTGGCATTCAACTTCTTATCTTCATCTGCAATTCGTATAACAGCATAACCTTAACATTTCAATTGTTGCTCGCAAGATAATGCATTCACATCACATCAATGTGAAATATAATGCTTGATAAGAAATTAAAGAGCTACAAGCTGAATTCGAGATAGCCTCAATTTCTTGACCATGTGGCAAAGCTGACATACCAGTCTCCCCTTTCGTAACAAGACTCCAGTTGACCACCCTTGGCTCCACAGCACTCAAAAGCTCGAGGAAGAAAATGCCACCGGAAAGATTCTTATCCTGAAAAAGAAGAAAAAAAAATAAAAAAAAATGTGTTGTAGTCCAACATCAAGGCAATCATTATGTACACTGTCCCTTGGAGTAAAATTGAACAGTCCTCTGTAAAGCTTTAAATTAAATTACTTTTAGTAATACTGATATCATACACGAGTCACTTCTCTCCCAACATGAGCAGCACAGATGTCTAAGACTAACAACTGTTTTAGATAAAAGGAAAATAAAGAGTAGCAAGAAAGGTATACACAAACACACACACATATACAAAATTCTCAATAGTTGGATTATAATTTCAAACTTTTTTGGAGCCACCTTAAAATCATGTACATACATGTTAAAATATTGATGACTCATACTGGTTATTGTCTGCTTGATTACCTTGAAACTGTCGATTTGGGAAGTTCTTCCTGCTCTCTTCACTCTATTGTTCGCCCAGTTTAGAATATCAGCATCAGTAATCTCTTTACCTTGGGAGTGTGATCTCAAGTTTTTCAGAAGTTGAAGCATAGTAAACCTCATCAGCTGCCACAAAAATGCTGTGGCACAAAGAGCAGACATGACGAATACAACTTCTTCAGTTTGAAAAAACATTTTATAGTTTTGAAACTTGCTTGAGAATTAGAGCCTTCTGATTTTAATATAGCTATGCTAATGAATTTGGTCTAACTTAATAACTTTCATTAACCCTATACACTTGATCCTAACAAATGAATCTACTAGAGAGTAGAGATCCATCATGCACCATGTTCACTAACAAGTCCTCCATCTCATTACTATAAAAATTTCTCAAGGGAAAGTTTTAAGAATCAAACAAAAGCACCCACTACTAATGGTAACACGCAAATGACCTGCTCCCTGCTACTAAACCAGTTAGCCAGATGTTCATGGCGGTCACTCAGTAGTATAGTAACCAACTTAAAAATTCATTAAGTGTACCAATATCAGAATATACACACAGAACAAATTCTGATTTTGGGAACAGTGAGACTCATCGTAAGGGTACTAGTTTATTAGAGTGAGAAGAGCCAATCCAAACCATTATATCTCACAAATAGTCTAATATTAATATTAATACTATTATAGAAAGAAAAATCTACAATCTCGTCTTCAATTTTAACTTTTCCTAAAAGTTCAGTTTTTATTTTTCTTTTCTATTTGTACTACAGGTAAAAAGAGAGGAGAACATTCTCATTTCAAATCCATCACAATAATATACAACTTACACCAGTCACCCCAGTTCCTACTTTATGAAACCTTTTTTCAAACTGTTTTTATATATTGCACTTTAAATTCAATCTTCATCTGGTGTTTAGATTTATAAAGAGATAAAATTGTCATTCTATCATTGAGTTAAATAAAATTAGAATTTCTCTTATGCTTTTTGCAGAAAATTAAAATTTCTTTTTACACTCATTCATGGGTGCCTATTCTAATATACGGATGGATATATAGGTAGAATTTGATGCATGGGTAGAACAGAATGGAATGTTTTGTAGTGTTCTATTCTCTTCAGTTCCACCTCTTCTGGTGAAACCAAAGTGTATCACTTTTTATTCCCATGTCTTGTTGTGATCTATTTTAAATTGCATCAATCATATAATGGAACTCATAAGTTATGTTCTGTTCTCCTTGGTTCCACCACTTTTAGTAGAACCAAAATGTATCACTTTTTAATCCCATGTCCTTATGTGTTTTATTCTTTAAAATGCACCCAATAATGTAGAATAGAACTCATATGTTCCATCCCGTTCTAAACCATAGATATGAGTTCAAATATCCCATTCTACAATATTCGGGAACAATTATTAATTTTCCTCAGGAACAAATCACAATAACATATCTTGCCTATTGGTTATCTTCAGTTGGCAGATTGAACTAAAAAGAGAAAGTGACATCATAAAAAAATGTGTTTATGAGGAACCCACCACACAAATATATCAACTTCACCATAAATAACAAATCATCATGTTAGATATTATATAAATATGTTGATATAATAAAACCATTTATGTGCCTTCACCCAATAACTTAAGTTTTTGGGAAAGTTGGTTCATGACATGGTATCAAGGATAAATGTAGCCTGGCCCCATTGGACCTTGTCCCAGTTGCAGCCCGGCCTCGTCAATCCTTGTCCCAGATGCGGTCTGGTCCCGTCAAATTTTGTCAAATGCAAGCTAACCCTAGCCACCTCTTTCTTGTTAGAATATCCAAAATATCTTCAAGATATCCTATAATCATAAGATTACATCTTAATATAGTTTAAAGTATCTTCCCCATGTCCTTATATTTTATGATTTGTTTCCTTATTTTAGGAGTTCCCTATTTAGTATAAATACGGATTATTGCTTTGTCTTTTATATCACTTCACATCACATTCTTCACAACAATATCATTAAAATTTTATTCTAAGTATTAATCTTCCTCCTTCTATACCTAAATTCCTATAATTTCAACACACCACAATGCTTAAGAAAATTGAAACTCACCTAGTAAGAGCTTCTTATTCCCTTGTACAATATCATTACCAGCGACATTCACTAAGGAAAAGTTAAGGTCCTTCCCAATCTTTATAACTTGGTTGCAGTTCTCAACTTTTCGAAATGGCATCTTTATAGGAGGCTTTGTCGCCACCTTCCAATTGACAGATCCAGGTGAAACCTTATCAAGAACTTCTAATAGAACCCATCTGCAGAAAAGGAAATAAGGAGAATCATAACTGGTAGTTAAGGTCAAGGAAATTTTTTTAAAAGACGTAAGTGCCGAACAAAATGATAAGAAAAAGGAAGAAGCAGATGATGAACCAACTGAACAGTGGAAAGCTTACCCATTTCTGACATCCTCAAAAACATTATTGACATAAGTAGCAATTCCAAGACTGTTAATCCACAGTCTGAAGCATCTTTCTTCCCGAGATGTCTGTGCATCATCAGTCATCATCTCAGCAAAGGACATTTTCTTGCTGTCAACTGTAAGGCCATTCCTACAAAAGTACAAGAACCAAAGAATTTTGGATTTATAAAACTAACTCATAATTTGAATCAGCTAGAGAACCATCATGTACCACGTACATTTTCTAACTCAATAACTTTCACTAACCCTGCATTTTTGTCCCTAACAAATGAATCAATTAGAAGACCCATAACGTACCACATATTATCTCCCCCATCCATTAATTTGCTTTCTCAAGGGAAAGCTCTAGTAGAAAGAATCAAAAGAATGATCAATCTAAATTATTATATATTCATATTTCATTAGATATAATGAACCTGATACTCAGTGGTCTATTTAAGGATAATCGTACAAGTAAAATACATAAGCTACCGTGATAATGTTACTTTCCATAATATAGGAGCTACCCCATCCCTATTTGAATAAAGGCAAAAAAACAGCATGGGTTCTTGGAAGCATATCCCAAAATATTCTTACAGTATCAATTTAGAATGAAATCATTTGCATATTCCATACCTATGCTGAAATATTTGAGCAACAAATGCAAGATTAAGATTAGGCGACCCCTCCACTATGTCCTTTGGAGTGAGATATCTCTTGCAATCTAATTTCTCTGCCTGCTCAAGAACCATGTTTGCTCTTTCTGTGGGATCACTTGTGACCAAGGCAGATGGGCCTGAGACTTCCGGAGCAAGAGTATTAAGCAAGTAAGCATAAGCCTCTCCATCCTGCAAAAGAAGACATTGTACATATGATAGATTTGTGCAAATTAGGATCATATTATATCTGTTTATGTTTATCAAAACATCTTCCATGCACTTGAAAAGCTAGCCACACAATGATTCAGCAATTAGCATGGTGTAGGACAACATAGTATTAGTGAGTCTTTGCTTGAAAGCTACTAGATGATTGTCAAAGCCAACAGAAAATTACAAGAAGGTCCATACTTTCTTTACCAATTTAGAGTAGGACTCAAAAATGTAGGCGATAGTGGGTCAGAACAAAAGGTGTTAATAAAGAATACTAGCTCAATATTTCATCCACGCCCACCTTATCTTTTTCTGTCACAAGGTGTATAATCCAGCATTCCAGCATACAAAAATAGTAAGAATTCCCCTCACCTTTACATCAGAAGAGAAGTTTGTAACTGTTTTCTCATATCCAGCTTTCTTCAAGTGGAAATTCATCCATTTCAATAAAACCTTTTCAGGTGGTAAACTGATAAGCTCCTCCACATCCTGCCAGTATGTTAAAATATAATAAAGCAGCTTATTTCAATTGTAGTTATGACATATGTAAAGGAAAGAAAGCCATAGCAATTGTAAATTAAAAATAAAGCAATATTATTCAATATATCACCTTGTCATCATCCACTAGTTCCAAAAGTTGAGGAGTTTTCTTCAGATTGAGATCAGCTAACAATTGAATCTAATGTTGCCACCATAATGAAAAGACAAACAAACACAAGAGACAGCATAAGCATTATTAAAATTTCAAGTCTTACCAATAAATAATTAAACTCATAATGGTGTCAATCTCCTCTTCTGAGCTCTCCATACTATGCAAGTAAAAATGGGATAGGTTTCAGTAGTCTACCTTGATTATTTGTGAAATCAGACCAAGTATCAAATATGGCTACAAATAACCAAATAGGAAAAAAAGAAAAGAAAAAGAGTTATAGTCTGTTGAATCAGAAAAATGAAATTGGAAAGAGAGAAGAGAAGATTGAACCTACTCTTCCTTCGACTAAATCCTGTGTACCAATATTAACCACTGTGCAACCAATAGCCTTTGCTGAATTGAGGCCAAGGGTGTGGTTCTCATTCCTTTCCCATGGATTAAGAACCCGTTTTGTGTTAATAGCTCGCTCATCTATGGTCCCAGGAACAGCGACATTAATAAGCTTGCTGCAGCAGTAAAGTAAACAACAAATCCAAACTTCAGGGAGAAATATGGTTACAAATTTATTAAAAATATTTAAAGTAAGAAAAATTTGAGATCATGTAGGGTCCTGAGCATCTACCAGAGAAGAACTCCATCTTTTGCAAGATCAAACAACGCATCTGTCAATGGATCAATAGGAAGAAACTGCTTCATGAATTTATCTTCAGCTAAATAGCTGTTAATATGTGCAACATAAGAAGCTTTCTCTGATTCATTAATAGCATGATGAACAGTTGTTGTAGCCGCCTTCAAAAATGAAGAAGAACTTTTTGAACCACCATCTTTTGCCGTTGCTCGGGCTTGCAAATTCAAATGTGCCTGCCATTCAATGTCACTGCATAAGCTGCTAGGTCCAGTATAAATAATGTAATACCTACAAAAGTACTTACAAATAAACTAGATATATCTGCCCACTCAGACATTCAAAACACAAACAAAAGCGCACTTTCATGTCAGGTGCATATATGTGAACACTCAAGGCATTTTGAGCATCAAATGACAGTCTTGTGTGCATGCTCAAATGACAGTCTTGTGTGCATGCTCAAATGACAGTCTTGTGTGCACAGTTTGTTTTATGATTATTTCTTTAGGAAAGCAATAAACAGGTCATTCCAACAACATGGAACAATTATATAAGAAAGACATTAACATATGGGAACAGAAACCAAATGCCAAAACTTTTCAAGAAAAAAGAAAAAAGAAAAAGAACTCACCCTAAGGAAGGATTCAAAGTCAATTTCTTCATCCATGTTCTGATACGACTCTGCCATGATATCCTTAATCTCATCCTCGTTAAACAGTTCAGAGAAAGCCTTTAATTTCTTAAAAACAGATGGCAAATTTTGCACAGTAACACGTCCTGATTGAGTCCTTTCCGATACATACTAGAAAGAACATAAACACATTCATTCGATGGATGTTTCAAGAGGAGATTCTCATGTTCAAGAAAAAAATACAAAAGGAAGAAACTTACTTTGGATTTAAGGGTTCGAAGTTCGACTTGAGTGAACTGGCTCTGAAGCCATTGATCAGAAACAAGGACACCAACAAAACTAGACATTGTTCAACGCGGTTGGAGAAAAATAGCAAACACTTGGAAGAACACTGAACCAACACACAAAATCAATCGTTTATAAGACAACTGATTAATCACGTTAACACATTTGAAAATCAACGATGCGTGAATATCTAATTACGTTCGGTTTAACCGATCCAACAGCAGATTCAGACAAGGAGAATTCTATATCGATATCGATATCGATATAGAAAAGAAAGGAAAACGAAGGGGGAGATGGTAAATGACAATGGAGAAGACGTACCTTACAGGCTCAGAAAAGGAAACGAAGATTGAAAAGTTCTCTCATCATTTTTGCGCGGTGTCTGAGAGAGAAAGTGAGAAAGAGGTGTTCGTTTGTACGAAACGGGAAATAAGGGGGGTGGAGAGAAAATAACGTGTTGGCGATAGGACCCGCGAAGACCAAGGGAATTGAGTATAATAAGAACGGGAATATCATATACCGATGCTTTTCCTTTTACTCTTTTTCTTATTATTATCCCTAATATTAAACACTAAATGACATTTGGCATCAAATCAGAATCACTTCACTCCTCTCTTTCCTTTTTCATTTTCTTTCCTTTTCGCTTTCTTCCTTCTTCTTGTTTTTTTATCTATCAAATTCGTGTCTTTTCTTTTTTGTTGCTATTTGGCAAAAAAGTAAAATCTCATCACATTAATGGAAATTATCATTACCACTTGAAGGAGTGAGTTTTTAAACTAGTATTGTTTATTGGAATGATAAATTATATGAAACAAAGTGCTGATGTAAAAGGTGAATGTAATTGCGTAAAAATGATATGTTTTTTTTTCTCTGAAGTAAAAAGTTATAGGGGTTTTCGTTTGTCATTTAACATGACACAAAAAAATTTCTTACACACATAATATTTTGTGAGATTTGCACTTTTTAAAGCAAATAAAAATAAAAATTAAGGCACCCAAAATAAATCTCTATAACATTACACTATTATTTTTCCTACAACATAACTCTTATAAAATCGAAAGTTATATATACAGTATTATTAATCTCATTTTATTTTCACCTTAAAAGTAACGTTCAAGGGCAATCCAATGAATTCAATGTGTACGCCATTACGAGAAATTTCTAAACTCAGTAACAACATTTATTTCCACTTTCCTCGATATAAATCCATACCTACCACTTGTGATTTTACCTTTAAGATAAAGATATTCAAATATCTGTTTATGGAAAAAGAAGAAGAAAAAAACTGGTATAGTGACATATATTTCCGAAAATAGATTTTCATTACAATCAAACGAAGTATGAACTGTTAATTAAATATAAACATGGAACATTAATTTGAGATTTTTTTTTTTTTTAAATGTCATGTTGGCATTGAAAATAGCTGAAATCTTAAAATTGGGCGTAAATGGAATAGTGCAAAGACGTGTAGAGGGGCAGGCAATAAAATTGGTTACATCAAACTTGGTGGTGGAGGTGTAACCGACCTCGTGACTCACATGAGCCCAATTTTATGAGTGGTTCTGTGTTGCGTGAACATGAGCCCAAATGAATACAAGAGAGCTGCAGTGGTGGTCCATCCCTGAAGTGTTCACATGCAACTGCGCTTTAAGATTTGCTCAAACCTCTAACATCGACATATAAAATACAGAAAAATATTTGTTCTTCTAGACGATAGAGAGTTGTATTATTTTAAGTGTAAAATATATATATATATATATATATATATATATATATATATATTAATAATTTTTATTTAAAATTTAAATTAAAAAAAACACTTACTTTCTTCCACATAATTTTTATTGTTTGTATCATTCTCTCACTTAAATGATAACATAATTCTATGTTCTTTAAAAGGACAAACATCAAATCCATAAAACACATATTTTTAAAATATCACGTGAATGTCATGCATTTTGTTATGTCTGAATCACAGAGATGTCAGAGATTGGTATATTAATATTGAATCTATATGCCCTCTTTCAGATACTTATGGGAAAAGTACTCTAGAGATCAGCGGATCACGTACATTATAATATAAATGACATAGTCAAAGCATGAGGTGTGTGCACACTGACAACTAAGAGAGAGAGTTTAGAATTTGTATACCTTATTGACTTAACCCCTTATTTATAGATGAGTTACCTGGCAGTAGTGAATTTTTGAGCTTCTTAGAAATATTACAGGTCCAGTTATTGATTCATTGTTATCGTAGTAGGATTAATATAATTAAAGAATATTTTCTTAATTTTTCTCTTAATTGTTAGCTCTTCTCGAGCCTTCTATGACGTGGGCCTTTATCATGTTGGTAAAACATTTAATTCAATTCATTCTTTTTTTCTTTTGAATCAATAATCAACTTTCTTTTTGTTTTTTAAATAAGATGAAGGGCTAAGCGCGTAAGACAAAGCAATCCACCAACAAGGGTATGAATACCTGTACTCTATCATCCAGCAGAGGAAACACTTTATTACCTTGCCCATATGAGTGTGTGAAGCGAAGCTCCGACCCATGAGATTCGAAATCATGGGTGAGTAGGTACACATCCATGTGAAAGAAATTGAATGGTAACTTGAGAATCACCTTCCATGTATAACTTTGTCACTCCGTTATCTAAGGCAATGCACATAATTTTATTTTATTTTTACTTTGCATTTAAATTCAAATTTTTTATTCGAAGAACGGGGAAGTAAGTATAGAATTCTAAATCACTTGACCATAAACTCCAATGTTAACTCTTTCAAAAAATTAAGCTCTCTGATGAAAATACATAAATAATTTTATTATATCTCTTAATATTATTCTTTCCAAAGTATTTCACACGCAGCACAAGCAAAAACAGACGTTGGTTGCCCATTCCACAAAATTTTCATAGAGCATAAGATATACACTTCAAAATTAACTCACAAAAACCTTGATTAAATACCACCTCCAGATGTGTATTCTTGAGAAAAGCTCAATTTATATGGTCATAAGCTTTCTCAATGGACCTTCATTGTCATCAAACCCTTCTTCCTTTTTTTTTTCATGCATAGAGTGAATCACCTTCTGCACTATGACAATATTATCTGAGTTGCATCCACTTGGAATAAAACTGCTCAAAACTTCAAGTCGAGAACAAAAGTTAAAAAAAACTTCCTATCATTTGAAAATGACATTACAAAGATTTATAGGCCAAAATTGCTTTTGCATCTCAACAAGAACAATTCGAGTATGGTCCATAATACTTACAAGATCTAGATTGTTTAAAAATCCCCCTGATCATTTTAGAATCTCCTATCACATGCCACTAGGATTAGAAAAATACAGGGGGTAACTAAATAGGAGCTGGAGCTTCAAAAGGTTCCATATTCAAAACTGCAATTTTTATTTTTATTTTTTTATTTCAGTATCCGTAAAAGAAGCCTCTAAATCAGCCAACACATCATTTAATTTCGGGGAAACATCCTTTTAGTGACGGCTTTAAAACTCTCAAGAAAGGTAGATACAGCTGTTGCCACATAACATAACATGACAATTACATGCTATCATATTAAAAAAAAAAATAGTATTATAATAGAAATCGCATTCTCATTCATATATTGAATAACACTTATGTTCAAAAAAATGGATTCAAATCAAAGCAAATGCACCAAATGTAGATACATAAACATAATCTAAATTAAATATTCAATAGATTTCCAATTACAAGAGGGCCAGCACACCGAAAGTTGCCAAGACAAGGTAGCCCCAGATGCCATAGCTGATGATCCTGTAAGAAGAGGAACCATCAGGGGTAGCTGATGGAGAAGATGATTTGCTCTCTGCACTTTGTGCACTTGGAGAATCTGCAGCAGGGGCAACTTCAGGTGCCGGTGCAGGAGCAGGAGTTGGAGGTATATCAGTGCCAAAAATGGCCTCAGGAAGTAGGACCCTGTCAATTTCATATATTGCAACAGGATCTGTGGCATGAACAGCACTGGTAACCTTGGTCTTTGACCATCCTGAAGTAAGATGGACACTCCCCGAATCATCAGTGAAATTCAAAGTGTAATCCCCACCAGCAAATGTGGGAGTGGAGCTGGTTTGGCTAAGGTTTTTGAAGTCAGATAGAGAATAGAAATGTGGCAAGGCATGGAAAAGGATCACTTGCTTTATCTGGTCATCAGTGAGTTTGGATAGAGAAGGTTTCTTCAAAGAAGAGAAGGAATTATCTTTTGGTACAAAGATGGTAATTCCTTCTTCGGTGTTGTTGGCTTGGTTTTGGAAAGTGTCAATCACTTTGGTGGACTGAAGGTAACCAAGGAAGGTGTGAAATGGACCAGCAACAGTGAGCAATTCAGTGAGGTTCACAAAGTCCGGTGCTGGAGCTGGTGCTGGTGTTGGGCTCAGAGGAGGAGGACTAGCATGTTTTGCAAATGCTGATGAACTGAGAAGCAGCAGAGTGTTGCTAACAATGAAAATCATGGAAAATTCCATATTTTCCTCTCCAAATTCCTATAAGAAAAGAGCTCCAGAATGTTAGATCTCAACATAACACACCCAGTTGTGACAAAAGTTAAATAATCCTAAAAAAGAAGAAGAAATGAACTCCAAGTTCAAACTCAATCTCCAACAATACATAATAGCAAATCCTTTTAATTTTTCCACCCACCCTTCTTTACATAACACTAGAAATTTGGCTACAATGTACTTGCATCTACAGAGACTAACAAAATGGCTGAAACCAGATCTACAAAAGTTAACATAAACCAAGAAAATAAAAATATTCAACAGAATATGGAATGCATAAGTGAAGATCTACGAATGCCAATTGAACCAAAGTAAGTAGAAGCAATTGCAGATCGGAGCATTATATGAATACTCTCACAATTTTATGGAAGCGAATAACACTTCAAATGTGCTTCTTTTGCTTCACAACCCTGAAGCCCGGGTAGTACAAAAGCAAGAAGAAAAGTGAAAAATGATAAATTTAGAACAACTCGCAGAGCCGCAGAAGACCAAATTTCCAAATGCTATATTCGAGATCAGACCCTTGATGAAATAAATGTAAAAAGTTTTTCCTTTTATTTAAAATAAAATAAAATAAAATATCATCATCCCAATGCCAATCGATTCCGTTACTAGTAGTTCGTTTTACCCGGAAAGTTTCCCAAGTTCTAGAAAAACCAAGTCAAAAAGCACACGAGTTAGACAGTCAAGTACACAATGCCACAGTACACATAATCACATCAACCCCATAATAAAATGAGATAGATCTAGACAAGCTGATCCAAAATCACAAGCACCATGCAAACAAAAAGGACATTCAGATGTGAAAAAACAAGAAAAACTAAAACTTGGCACTAAACCATCAATGGGGTGACATTCACTATAAAAGTAGCAAAGGAGAAAGCAAAGGCATGAGATTGAAAATGAAGAGCACGGACCTGAACAAGAGGAATTCAGAGAAAGAAAAAGTAGAAAGTGAAGGACGAAGAATGAGAATGGAGTGAGGAGGGTATATAAAGATAGAATGGAGGGGGGGTACTTACCAGCTGGAGTTGAAGAGAGAGATATAAAGTGGAAAATAGATAGATGCCTACAGCACAAAGATGCTTCTAACTTGAGTGTGGTTCTTCCGTGGATACATATAATACTTTAATGGAAAATGCTTCTCTGGAAAACCCCTTCCTCTGGTTGTATGGTGGCCTTTCCATATCCACTTCAACTAATACTTCTTTAATTCATCATAGACCAACCTTGCACTCTACCCCACCATTTTCCTTTCCTCTCTCATCTCTTTGTTTCTTTCCATTTTATCATCTCGGAAAGAGGAAATAAATAATGATTAATATTAGCAAAATGATATAATTAATGCAAATTCAAAAATAAACTATTCAGTTGATGACTACAATCATTGATGATATAATTAATCCCGAGTGAACGTTTATTCACAGTAAAAAAAAAAATTGTTCATCTTTAAAAATGTATTTAATAGGAATTTAACACAAATTTTCTTTTCATTTTACTCGATTTATATTGTCTATTAAGCTATACTCATTGCGTAACTTAAATCCTTTTCTTATTGGCTATAAAAAAAAAAAAATCATTTTCTTATCTTTATCAGTTCACTGATGATGGGAACTACTTCATCATACCTTTTCTTGGTTTGTTATTTAAGTTCTATGATACTTTTGAGCCCGCATTGCTTGCTTGAATTTTAAAAAAGAAAACATTAATGAGATAAGAAAGTTTATAGTAACTAGCCAAAATCACATGCACTGTATGTGATGATTAATCTAGTTAGTATATGAATATATTATGCTAATTGAACGGAATATTAGTTTTTCTTTAGTGAGTTGTCTCGGTCTCCAAAAGTACATGTTATAAGATTTTTGTGTTGCAAAGGGAAATATTTTTTTTATATTATATGAGATAATTTTATCTCATATATACATAAAAAGTGAGCGAGTCTGTTCTTTCTGAATAATAGAGATATCTAGTCAAAGACTAGTAAATTTATATTATATCTGGTGTTCTCTCTTAGATATTTAAAGGTGAGATATTTTTGAGATTACTGATCATTGCACGTGATAGAAATGACGTTTGCCAATAGGGTGGTGTGTATGTACAGTGACAACATAACAATAAGAGAGAGATTAGATTTGTATCTGTAGGCTTTACCTCTTGTTTTATAAAGTTTACTTATGAGTCATAAAGTTCTGAACCTTTAATAGCTTCTTTGGGGGCCCAAGTCTGATTGCCTGACTGTTAAGATAAGATCATTATTAACAAAAGAATTCTCTTCCTTTTGTGTTGATTCTTATTAGGCCTTCTGGAATATGGGTCTCTCATGAGTCCATAACAATTCCCCCAAGTTCGGTAGGTCAAGTATCCGAGGTATCAGGATGGATGATGTGCTTTGACTGAATTTTATACGCAGACTCGAATTATAGAGTTATAATCTTGATATTGAATATGACGAGCCAGGTTCAAGTAGATCTTCGAATGTTGAGCTGATAATCTGGATTTGGTTGGAGAGCTCGGTCATCTATGTATAAGAAAATTAAATCTAGATTATTGAATATAGGATTTTGGATTTTAATTGAACTCAGACATATTCTCAGATATAACCCCTTATGCGTTATGGCTGAGCTTTACTTTGTATAAGTTTCATGCACATCCCAGATTGTAAATCTGGGTTCATCCCATATTTGTGTGACATCTTCTGAATAATGATTGCACCTTTAGGTGGCATTTTTTCATTGGTCTGACACGTTTTGAGGGCTATTTGTCGTGTTGTCACACTTCACACATTCAACGCTGGCTGTCACAATGTTTTTTCAATTGTCTTGTTTGTCAGTGATATGATGCATTTACCCTTGTCCTTTCGTTTCGCGTGTCTCATCATTTGAACCTTTCTTTTCTTCTAATTGCTTTTACTTCTGCTCTTTTCATTTCAGCACATTGTCAAATTTTCTCCTTCTTTCTTAAGGTTTCTTCTCCCTTTTCTAGTTTTTCTGGGTTGAAAGGTCTCTTTAAACTTCACATTTTCTTGATTGTTATGCTTCATCTTCTTGGCATCCAAGGAATTCCCCTCACCTTGTTCTCCTCCAAATAGGTACCCTTTTGAATTCTCATATCATTCGATTTTTCATTGTTTGTGGTTCTGTGTTTTGCGTTAATTTAAATTCTTCAATGGTTATTCTTCAGTAGTTTTGTGGGTAGGGTTTATGTATTCTTATGTTGTTAGGCTCATTTTTCCCGAGACCCTGATACAAGATAGTAGTATCCTCTTGCACTTCTTCCAAAAACATGAAGGATCATAATGTTAAGCATCTAACCATTGATCCTTTGATTTAAGATTCTCCTTTTGTAACTACCTCTTCACCACTAACAACCTGGATCCAAAATCCTGATTCTGAATCCTGCCTTGCTTATGCTGTATTAAGTTCTAAACTGGTTGTGGCCGTAAGTCTTTAGCCGATTCAACCTTGTCGGATTGCACTCACAGCCGGAATCCAATAGAACCAAAATCTATTCTTGGGGATGTGTCCCAACCTATAGAGTTCTCGGATGAGACTTCTAGCTTGTCTAGTAATGATTTTTTCCTTCAGGTATATAGTCATTTTCTAATCTTAGCTTTCATTGTTCTAGACTTTTATAAAATCATCTTCTACTGAGGTAGAAATCGAGATAGCTTCCGTTGACCCAGGACTTAAGTCTCCTAGTGCCGACATGATTGTCGAAGATGTAGCTTCCCGTGGATAACCTAGTTGACTACAATATATTTTCTCTAGCTGAGGATGAACATGTTTGTTCAGAAAAAAATCCAAAAAAACTTCGTTTCTTCTTTTTTTATAGTGACATAGCCTTAATTTTTTCTTTTTTTCTCTTATTCTTAACTAGTGTTACCCACTTCTGCATAGACTATGAAAAACATATTTCCTTTTTGTAAATCCTGACGTCAATTGCCATTGAAGATTTTTTCTTCATGTCTTGTGTAAATAGATCCCAATGTCTTAAGGCCGAAGGCTAACATAAACACTCCTGAACATGATAATTTGTGCAAAACAGTGTGGTGGACCATGGTATGTCGGTGACTCATGTCATGGTAACGAGATGTACCATGACCATCAAAATATCATGAGAACAAGTTCGAACATCATATGATGTATTTGTATTTGGAACAAATACAATACATTGAGACTATGTACACAAATAAATCTTTGGTGCTACTGTTGCACTAAAAATTTAGTAAATCCTACCAATAAAATTATTATATGTGAGTTAAAAAAAAAAAAATTCTGCCAAATTTTTTCTCTTTCTTATGATGTGTAATACTTTCATTAATGAGATGCATTGAATCTTGGTGCAGCAATAGCACCAAAAATTTATTCTACGGATGGTTACAACAGGTGGCACCCAGAAAGAACCACCGCCACATTGGTTGCTCCTCGGTTGTCCCACAATAACCCCATGCCAACTGTGGAGAAATCATTTATTTGCCAAACATGCCCTGGACGATCACCTTATTCACCGTCGTTTCGTTTCCTGAGTCTCCACTACTTCTCTATACATAACACACGACCCTAACAGAATGACATCAACATAGATCGCTACGATTCGTAATTCAAACGACATCAACCGCCGCCGACACTGGTTTGGTTGGTATTTTCCTTTCTCTTTATTTTTTTCCCCTATTCTCAATAATGCAACTAATGCGATTATTGAGATGATAATTATGCTTGTATATGTTTACTTCTCATTTTAGTTAATTTTCTCTAATATCATGAATATTAAATTCACAACAGATGACATATGAACAACTTTTATATATATATATATATATATATATATATATATATATATATATATATTGGTACAAACTTGTATATATTTATCATAAAAAATATTGGATTACTTTCTTTCTTCTGGCGTAATCAATTAATATTATTATGATTTAATATAAGAAGAATAAACATGTAACAACAGCC